GGAAATAACTTAAATCACCAAGGGGCATTGCCTCTCCTGAAAATCAGAATCTGTACTGTGCAGCTGCTTCTGTCCCTCACTGCTCAGCACATCTAAGTCACGGCACTGTCCAGCTTGGGGTTTCCAAGCCTCTGAGCTTGGCTCCTGACAAAGTCAGAGACAGATTTTCCCTCTGTGGCTTATCCTGGCAGCTCTCTCTGTAGAACAGCCTTGGGTTAAACCCATCAGCAGAGATACAAAATTAAAAGCAGTATTCAGTTTCTTGTGATGCCTGTGTTTGGTTGCAAAGGGATTTCTGAAGGTAAGAAAACTTCGTAACCATCAGATATGGCATGCAGTACCATTGTTTTACTCATTCTGTTCTGAAGAGTTGAATATCCTGCCATTTTGCTCACCTCCGCACGTTTGAGCTGCTGTTGCCATACTGTAGTGGGAGAATTCAGCTTAGCAGATGGCTGCACCTTGCCAACTTGTAGCAGACAGCCTACAAGTTGCCAACGGTCCAGAGCCAAACAAGCCAAGGCCCTGTTAGAGACCAGAGGGCTTTCTAAGGCCCTGCATCTCCACCGTCACTTTGTGAGAGGGTTTGCATTAGCTTGTTTCTACAGCTCAGCTAAGTACAGCCCTTTTCCTAGAAAGTTACTACCTTCAGACATTAGAACTTGAGTCTACAGGACCTAAAGAAAGGGGAGAAGTGACATGAGCTGCTCTTATATTTTAGGGCTGGTCTTTTTAGACTTGGCGTCTACTGATGTTTCAGTCCTGCAATGATTGAAAGGCAGGTTTTATATTTTATGTTAAAATTTTATCTTCTTTTATTTTTTTATTTTATTTTATTTTCATGTTTTATCTGTTTGCCTACATGTCCATCTATATCCAACATGCATGCAGTATCTGTGTAGGCCAGAAGAAGGCATTGGATTCCCTGGGCTTGCTGTTACAGATGGTTGTGAGCCAACATGTAGGCTCTGGAAATGGAACCTGGGTCTTCTGGAAATGTAACCATTGTCCCTAACCACTGAGCAGTCTTCCTCCCCAACCACCACCCCCCATGTGGTTTTTTTTGTTGCTATTGCTTTAATGTCATAAAAGCACAAAGAAGGTTAGGGGAGAGGGCTCAGTGCTTGCCAAGCAAGCATTAGAACCAGAGTTTATATCCTCAGAATCCGTATAAAAAGCAGGCAGGTGTGTTGGGAAGCAAAGATGATACCTGCGCCCTCCCCATCCGCTAGCAGGAGGAGCTGACAAGCTGAACTCCCTGGAGTTGGTAAACTCCCGGTTCAGTGAGACCTTGCCCCAGTAAATGAATTGGAGAGCAACTGAGGACAGTAGCCAACCAGCTGTATGTTCGTGAGGCCACACGTGTGTGCATGTGCCCACATAGAGATTGCACAGCTGGACACTAATCCAGCCGCCGTTCCATTCATACCCGAGAAATCATTTCATCTCTGTGTCCCAGGCCTTCTAAAATGTTGGAGTATAACAACATGGCAGAAGGGAGGGAAATTACAGAGCAGAGGGAAATAGTTGCCTCAGCCATGGGTACCCTGGAAATGAGAGACAGATTGTCTTGGCATCCCAGTCCCCTCACCTGCCGAACTTGGAATAACACCTGCTTCATGGGGCTTTGCCACCAAATGGGAGAGCGTGTGTAATGCTTACACACAAAAGCCTGTGACAGGGCTGGGGGAGCTTAGCATATAAAAGCACTTGCGTCTAGCACCTGGCAACCTGAGTCCATCCCTGAAACCCTCTTAAAAAGCCAGGTGAAAGGTCTTGCGTTTAACCAGCGTTCCCTGGTTAAATTCGAGCTGGAGCCCGGGGGCCTAGTAGCCTGGTGTGCACAGTGTGACGGAAACAAGAGGCCGCCCTCAACTTGGTAGGAGGAGAGAACCGACTTTCTCTAACCTCCGAATACATGCTGTGTGTGCATTCACACACATGTGGACGTAATTACATACTTGAAAAATACTCTTAGGTGCATATTAAGTGCTAAGGATAGAAGCCAGGGCCTTGCTGATTGTATGCAGGCAACCTGCTGCCGCCACCCTTTTTTTTAGAACATACCATTGCCTTATTTTGTGTATATACTTAAGAGATTTTTAAATTTTATGTGTATAATCAGTGTGTCACCTGCATGTATGTGTATGCAGGTGCCTGGTACCTGCAGAGGCCAAAAGGGGATGTCAGGTCCTCTTGAACTGGAGTTACAGACAGTTGTGAGCCAGCTGTGTGCTGAGATCCAAACCTTGTCCTCTGCAAGAACAGAAAGCACTGTGAACGGCTAAGCCATTTTACCAGTCCTTGTTTTATATATATTTTATATGTTTCTAATTCATTTTTCCACCATGCTGTGTAAGACAACTACTTTTCAGTGGTAATGTACATGGTAGAGCATGGGTGTACCATTGTAATATACAGCTTTTCTGTGCCCCCTAGACCCTTGAGCTGTTTCCTCATAAACGATGCTGTAATGAACTGTTGGAATTGGGTGGGGGTAGGGCAGAGCTTAAACCAGTGTGCTTCTCAGTTTTCATTAATCAGACAAAATGAGCAAAAATTAAAAAAAAAAATATCTTGGCCTGTGGTTGCAGAGGTTTCCATTCATGGCCAGCGTGCTTCATTGCTTTTAGGCCTATGGTTGGTTAGGCAGCAACATCAAAGGAAGTCATGGTGAGGGAAAGTCCTTCCTTCATGGCAACCAGGAATCAGAGAGAGGACACACCGAGAAACAAGAGATACCCTTCACTGTCATGCCTCTTGAATAGTCCATTTAAAGTGTGAGCTCATAGCAGAATTACTCATTGAGAAAGTTAGCACCCTCACAATCCAGGCCCCTTTCAGTAGCACCATTAGCTGAGACCAAACCTTCAACACATGGACTTCTGTATGGGGGAGAAGGATCATGCCTAGACCCTGACAGTGGGGCCTGTGTGTGCTACGCAAATACTCAGAGGCTGAGCTGTTCTCTCTGCCTAATGAATAGATTTCTTTCGTATGTTATATATATCATGTTAACATGCAACCAGGAAATCTCAGGCACATGACCTAATCTTTGTGTCTTGTTGTGTGCGCTTGATGGGAATCTGCCTGAGAAGATGTGTTATGCCTTAGATGAGACAACACAAGCCTTGAAGACCACCAGTGGCTGTCAGGCACTCAGTAGATGACACCACCTCCTGACTCCACAGCTAGTATCCTCAGGCCTGCTCTCTAGACATGGGTTTATTGATTGACTGCTTCCCAGAAGGACTTCAGCAAATTGTGATGTCAACAACTATCTATACCAAGGTCATCGTCCATGGGCTCTTTAGGAGGCTGTTTTTCTGAGGCTCACCTTCCTCAGTTGTATGTCCACCATATTACAGTATAAGTTGGTCCTTTGATGCTTAAAAAAAAAAAAAGAGTCTTACTTCTTGCTATAGTACATGCTGTTGGGCCTTCACTTAGTCTCTTTGGTGTTGCTGGTAGCACAGTACCACAGACTGGGCAGTTCCTAAGGAAGGATGTTTGGTTTGGCGTCCAGTTCTGGTCAAGGTCATGGGACCTCATCTGGTCACCTTCTTGCTGGCAGTCCCAAGATGGCACATAGGACGGGAGCAGGTGTATATATATTTTCTGCGCAGTATACAATGAAGCCACCCATATCCAGTCCTGGGGGCTCCACCATGATGATCCTGTCTAATAGTCACTCCAAAGGTCAGTATCACTCTTTCCTCACAGTAGAGACTGTACCCCAACACCTCAACATGAGCCTGAGAGGAGTCACGCCACACTCATTCCATTGCAGACAGCTTCATAATTTTACTTTTCCCCAACAAACCGTCAGTTTGTTCAAGGGAATTCCACTATGGCAGGCCATAACCTCTTAGAGTCCTCCCCTCAGAAAAAAAGAATTGGCAAAGGTAACATGGGTCCTGATAAAATTACCCAAAGTGCATTCTCTGCTCCCCAAAGTGACTGCTTTTGAGTGACAGGTTCTCTCACCATCCTACTCCCAGGGGCCTCCTTGGCAGCTGTGCCATGCATATGGCCAGTGAAGGCTTCAGCACATCACCCTCATGCCACTTCACCTTGGAGTCCTACCTGTTCTTTCCTGGAACACCAGGATGTAACCCCAGGCCCTGTGCCAGCCAGGAAAGCGCTCTACCTCTGAGGCACATCCCCTCCCCACCCACCCCCAGCCTCTTGCATTCACTCAGGCACCCCATTTTACAAGTCTTCTCTCTAGGACTGGCTGATCATCTTCAGTGGCAGAGCCGTTACCTCGCATTTGCAGCAGAGATTGCTGCGGAGTATGTGGTGGCATGTGCCTAGAACCCCAGCAGAGCAGGGGGATCAGGAGTCGAAGGACAACCTGGGCTACACAGCAAGCTATAGGCCGGTCTAGACTCATGAGGCCCTGACTCCAAAGGGCAAAAGTAAACAAAATAGAAGTGGCTCCTTTTTCTTCAGAGAAATTATTTTGTCCCCAGTTCATCCTGTAGCAAGCATTCATTACACCCTTCATTTCTCTCCATTTGAATCATTTAAAGATTTATTGTATGTGAATAAGTTTTGCCTGTGTATGTGTGTGTCGTCATATCATGTACATGCCATGCCCACAGAGGCTAGTAGATGGCATCAGAGGAGTTTCAGGTGGTTGGTTGTGAACCGCCACGGGGTGCTGGGAACCTAAAGCAATAGTCAACAACTGGCCACAGGCAGGGTTTTCATAATGTTTGTCAGCACAGAGGGTTCCATACTGGAAAAACAAATAAAACCCATGGCCAGGCCAGTGACCTTGTCTGAGCTTTACCTAACACTGTATTGCTTTGTGACTTCAAAGGCCCTTTTCCCCCAACTCTCTAATTCATTATATACCATGATGACTGTTTTAAAGAAGAAAAGATGTGTTCTGCCGGGGGATCCTAGCATGCTGCTCCAGTGAGCCCTCATTGTTCATGGATCAGGGTGTGACTTCTTCGAGGAAGACTGACTTTTCTGGTTGTTTTAACTAGGTGACTTTCGCATGGTGATTGGCGAGGAAAAAGCGAAAGTGTTGAACATCGTGAAGCCCAACATAGCCCATTTCAGAGAGCTCTATGGGAGTATATTACAGGAGGATCCCCAGGTGGTGTATAAAACACAGCAAGGCCAACTGGAGGTGAGCTGTGTGCGGGCCCTGACCCCACACTACCAAAGGAAGAGCTAGTATTTATATATCTATGTTGTCTGAAGTAGGTGTGCTTGAACCTGTGCCTCACATATGCTAGACAAGTGTTCTACCCCTGAGCTACATCCAACCCTCTTGGTACTTTTTATTTTGAGACAGTGTTTCTAAGCTGCCTAGGATAGTTTTGAACTCACTCCAATGCCCTAGAAGCCTTGAACCTGGCAGTCCTCCTGACTCATCCCTCCAGGAACCTGGAATTACAGGCCAGTGCCAGAGGCCTGGTGACAAGAACTGTCTTTTTTTACTGTTGCTATTTTTTTTTTAAGCTAACAAAATGACGTGCTTCAGTGGCATTTTCATGCATCTGTGACCTTAGACTTTTTCTCTCTCACACCCCCACCCTCTGAATGCCCTGGCCCAGTCTGGCTGCTTCCCTTTTGTCCACTAGTCAATCAGTTGCCATTCTGCTTTTTCCCCATTTATTGCATCAGCCTCCGCTGCCCTTCTCCTTAAGATGCCTCTCTTGTCCTAGTAAGACCACCTTATTTCCAGCTGTCCATTTCTGCAGTTACCATGGTTTCATTTTTCTTTACGGTTCCATTGAATATCTGGGCTACATTTTCTTTTCTTTTCTTTTTATTATTTTAGACAGTTTAGATTAGACAGTCAGTAACAGCCCAGGCTGTCCTTCAATTCCCTATGTAGTCAAGGATTACCCTAAATTCTCTAAAGTACCAGAATTCAGGCTTCTCCCACCATGCGCTGTTTATATAGGGCTTGAACCTGGGGCTTTTTGCATGCTGGGCCTATATGCCAGCCCTGTACTGTCCATTCATCTGTTGGTGAACAACAACAGTTCTGTTTCCTGGCTGTTGTGAATAATGCAACAATAAGATGGCTGTACCAAAAGTAATAACAATTTTGGAATTTTGGTTTCTTTAAAAACTCAGAAATATTATAAGAATGTGTTTTGGTTTTAATCCTGAGTGTGGGGATATAGCGCTGCTTCCACAGCAGCTGACTATGATTTGCCTCGTGCTCTAGCAGAAGCATGGTTTTGCCAGCTGCAGATGATTTCTGCGGTTGTGTGATGTTTGGAATTCTGGGAACTTTCCAGAGGGTACGTAAATACGAGGGACCCAAGAAGCAGGGTCTGTGGTTGTTGGTCATTTAGGGAAGTTAGTTGTGCTTTGCTTGCAGCCATGGTCAAAGAAGAAACAAAAGGAAAGAAATTAGATTCAGTGACTTTCCTAATTTCTCTCTCCCCTCTCTCCTGTTTCTCTCCTGTCTAGTTTAGTGTTAGGAGTGGTGGGGTGGGGAAAAGGGTGGTGTAAAGAATGCACAGAGTAGCAAAAGACCACCTCTACCTGTGGTATGTAGACTTAGACTCCTTCAGGTAGCACCCAGGAGTTAAGATAACGCCAGCTCTCTTGAGAACTTCTGTTCAGTAGACCATTTGTTGCTATCCCAACCCCATGTTGCTTACCAGGTGACATTAATGCTATTTAATTGATTGGGCTGGCAGGATGGCTCAGTGGGTAAAGACATCTTCCAAGCCTGACGACCAGAGTTTAAGCCCCAGGAGCCCACGTGGTGGAAAGAGAGAACCGACTCCACAAGTTGTCTCTGGCCGTCGCATGCCCACCGTGGTATGTGCACCCACCCCCATAAATAACTTAAGTTTTAAAAAAGTCAAAGGAGGGGAAAGATGTTCTGCCTCTGCTAGTGTAGACAAACGTGACACATCCAAGTTTCTAGTTTAAACATGAACCCATCCGAGGCAAACTCCAAGGTATAACTGTTGATTTGTTTGTTTGATTAATTTCTGATCGAGACAGAGTTTCTCTGGACACAGCCTTGGCTCTGCCGAGCCACTCAGATAATCTGTTGTACCTGGTGCTGCAGATGCCTCAGGATCTTGGCTTGCTAGGGTTTGTAGTCTCTGCTATAACCCACTAGGATTCATTGAGTTCTTGCAAAGGCCAGACTTCCTGGGGACATGATGAGGGCCTTCAGCACTTTCCTTTGCTGGGGCTCTCTAGAGAGCTGGCACAGCTAGGGTAGCGGGGGTGGGTGGAAGAGACACCAGCTATAGTTCATGGATCCATAGGACAGTTTCCAATCTTTAGGGTAGACTAGCAGGCTGGAGACTCAGAGAAGAGGTGGTGCTGCAGCCTTGAGTCTAGAGCAGACTGCCTTCCTGGAAGGACTGTGGGCGTTTCTCTTGCATCCTTGAGCGGATAGATGAGCCTGCCCTGTTAACAGTGAGGGTGGTCAGCGGTCTTTATATCCTCAGCCGACCCAAGTGTTAATTGCACCTTTAAAATAACCAATGGCTGAGCACTACAGCTTAGTCAGGGTACACAGAAAGGCCGCCACACCCCTGCATGACCTAGGCGTGCAGGTAACACTGATTTCCCCCTCCTGAGGTGTGGTTTTACTTTCTCTTCTTTCGGTGACAGCCTCGGAGCCTCTGCTTCATCTTCTACACTGACAGCTCTGACATGTCTACTCGGGCTTTGCTCACTGGAACGCTCCTAGTACCCGTCTTCAGGTTAGGCATGTCTGCACCCAGTGGGCCCATCTGGCTCTGCGAGGCTGCTGGAAAGCTAGTGGGCCCTTCAGAGTTCTCCCAGCTCAGGGCAGGAGGCCAGTCTTCACCCTGCATTTCGTGCTTTGTGTATGCAAGTAGCTATCCATGCCTGAGAGCCCTCTCAGAGGGTGCTGCAGCAACAGCAAGTAAACGAACGCCTTCACCCAGAGACTGTTCTGGTTTGTTTGTTGTTATTGTTTGAAGACAGGATTGACGCCATGGCTGGCCTGGAATTCACTATGTAGACCAAGGTGGCCCTGAACTTACATGATGCGTGCATGGTCCCACAGGCTTTGTGGAGTTGGTTCTCTCCTACCTTGACGTGGAGCCTGGGAGTGGAACTCAGATCACCAGGCTGCTGAGCATCCGCCCGCCTCTTCTTTCATGCTAAAACCTAAACACTTGCTGAAAGAACTCAAGGCAGATCCTTACTTGAGAACTACTGTGAAGAAGCTGCTGAGCGAGGCATTGTTCCTTCTGCATGGAGCAGGCAGCAGTGCTCGAGTGTAGCTTCCATGGTCTTATATTTTTAATTCTTCGGAGCAAAATACACTGTATTAGGGAACTAGTCTTGTCTCAGCAGTGGGCTGACCTCTGTTTCAGTGCTCTCCCGGCAATACTTAGTTTTATTTATGTCTTTGTCCCTGAGCAACTTAATGTGCTTAGACAGCCTTAGAAACAGAACTGCCTGGATAGCTCAGTCATATGTAACAAGTAATGACAACTAAGTTATGCTGATCAGCTACTAATTCACTCACCTGTGTTCTGGAGGGTTCAGAGTAAGCCTGGCCTTTGTCATCAGGATGTGTCTACAGTCATTTGTGAAGTACAGCATTGTACACAAGGGGCGCCCAGAGCAGGGACACAAATCCAGATCACACTGTCTCACAGCATTCAGAGTGGACAGGAGAACCTGAGTCCCTGGATTAGATCTGGACTTGTTGGCTGCAAACCCACTCCCTTTAGCTGCTGGCTTAAGGCATGTAGGACATTGTAAACTGCAAGTCAGAAGTTGACCCCCCAAAGAAGTTTCTCTTGGATCTGAAGAGATGAGCTGGCTCAGTGGTTAAGAGCTGTTCTTGCAGAGGACCTGGATTCAGTTCCCAGCACCCACAATGGAGGCTCAGAACTGTAACTTTAATTCCAAGGGATCTGACACTCAGTTCTGAGCTCTCAGCACACATGTGGTGCACATACATGCATTCATTCAAAACACCAATGCATAGAATAAAATTTTTAAAAAAATGTTTAAGAGGCTTCTCTTCAAATCTCATGTAGAAGTGGAATATTCAGGAACCAGGGCTGTCCTTTTTGAAGGGACCTATAATCCTGACCATGTAAATACTCAGTTTCCCTTGCCACCTGGGGCAGGTGTTGGGCTTACATCAGAGGAAGGGAACTTAATGACAAATATGTGCATGGGAGTCCCACATAATGTGAGACTCTTGTTTGTGTGATTTTTGAATAGAAGCCATGTGTCCAGCTGTGTCTGGACTTCAGAGCACTTGCAAAGATGTCATCTCTCTCTCTCTTTCCTAGATAGATAAAAGCCCAGAAGGACAATTCACTCAGCTGATGACATTGCCCAGAACCTTACAGCAGCAAATCAATCACATCATGGACCCTCCTGGGAGAAACAGGGATGTGGAAGAGACTTTACTGCAAGTGGCTCAAGACCCTGACTGTGGTGATGTGGTGCGGCTAGGTGTGTCTGTGGGTTGGTGTTGAGCAAGAGCTGACTGTGGGTGAAAGCAGCCTTTGTGTCCTTCAGACACCTTATTTTTTTCCTTCTTCCCTAATGAGATCAAGAGAGAGATTGCATCTGGGGAGAAGAAAAGCATGAACAATTCAGGGTTTTACAAATCTCAGAGTTTACTTGCTTGAAGCAAGCAGTGGGAAAGCCACCGCCAGTGGCTGAAGCAATGCTGATTTTCGTTTCAAGAGCATAACTTCTAGGTGTTATTTGAAAGGTGTGTCTATCCCTTGCGGTGGTCTGAGAAGGAAAGAGACTGATGGTATTTTTATGCTTTGCTGCCATCTCCAGCTTCTCTCTGACTCACCAGGTTGTGTCCAGCCAGCCACCCTCTGGTGGCCCTCAAGTGGTGTTTCTCCACATTCACTCCACAACCTCCCTAATGTTTATCTAAAGAGCCAAGCCTATATGGGGCTGCAGACCTGTGATCTCAGCACTCAGAAGGCAGGGGCAGGTAGTTCAGCCCCAGCTTGGGCTACATAGATAGTTTACAGTCAACCTAGGTTAATTAGCAAGGTGAGGCTTTATCTCTAAACACAGAAAATCTCAACCTTTTCCTGAGACCCACCTCTCTCTGGAGTAGCAAAGGACAGTAGGGGAAGAAATAACTATGAAACTGAAAATTACCTCATCTCTTAGATTAATTCATTGTCCCGCTTTCCCCCAGTAAATACTTATAGATTGAAAAATGCAGTCTGCAGTGAGGAGTTGGGAGGGTGGCTCCCTTCCCCTGTCTCAGGAGCCTGCACCAGGCTTCTTGAACATGCCCCTGTGCTCACTCTCATTCAGCCAGCCCCGGCTGTTGGTGGTTGCTGCTGTCCTGAGGCAATGGAAGACTGGGACCCTGGGTCTTAGAGTAAATATTCTCATCTACTTTTACAATGGATGCTTTTCTCCTAGATTTAAAAAAAAAAAAAAACAAAAACACATACACAAAACAACAAAAACACCTCTCTTTAACTCTTTCTGCATTTTGGAACTGAGAAGTAGAAGACATAAGCAGCTTTAAATTCCTAAGATGACCCCTCTTATTTTAAGGAGGCCAAGTTGCAAGCAGCCCAGGCCTTTGCCAGCACTCACCCAGTGAGCCTGATCACAGCTGTCCTCTGCAGAACCCAACCCTCTGTTCTGATGCCCTTTTCAGGGTCGCTTCCCGATGGGGTCAGCGCTCCTCCACTAGTTCTGTTGAGTAGCTGGAAATAATATTTAGTTTCAGATTTTTAAGACCGCTAAGATGGCAACCATCTTTCTGGGCTTCTCTTGGTATCTTTTTTGTTTTTTGTGTTTTGCAGGGGTCTCATCAATCGTCAGACCTTCCAGCATCAGCCAGAGTACCAAAGGCCTTTTTACTGCTGGTAAGAACCTTAGGAACAGGCACCTGTGGTGTGCAAGCTAGACAAAATGGCGTCAATGCTGTTGGTTGAAATACAAAGCTTTGCATCCCTTGCACTGGAGCAGTTCTGACCCTTCACAGCCATAAACCCTGATAAAGCAGTATACTATAGCCCCACTCATGACTGCAGTATGGCCTGACCCTCTACCAGGTCACCAGCCGGAGTGCTGGCAGGAGGCATGGCCTCTCCTCTCAGTTCCTCAGATAACTTCTGCGTGGGGTTTTGCCCTCACATTTCTATGTTGAAAAGCAGTGCAAAACCAGCGGTGCTGGGTGCTCCCTCCCTATCCCCCATGCTCACAGACACCTGCTTCCTTCTCTTAGTAACGTATTTTTGTTTTCACTGCTGTTTCCTGAAGAGTGGATTCATGTGGCCATTCCCCTGCTCCTCTGCTTTAGGTGCCATCTCCCTGTGGGCAATCAGCAGGGAGTGATTCAGTCACAGTTCTGTCCTCCCCTCTATCTCCGTGCTCCTGCCAGGCCTGCCCGCTCTTGTCATCCCCCATCTCAGTAGTCCTTTCATACTTGCAGTTTGGGCTAAGTCATTATTGAAAACTTAACACTGAGCTGAGGCACATGGCGTGCTTTGCCTCTCCTGCCCAGGGATTTGTCTTCATCTGCTCTGTGGGGGCTGTCTGATCCCCTTTGTCTGTGCCTTTCACTCTCTTGGTGCATAGCATCCTTTTGACGAGCAGGTTCCTGAAAAAGAATGAGTTTGGAAACTGTTTGAAACCTCCTTTCTCTACCCTCACATCTGGTTGATATTTAGGACAGGTAGAGAGTAAAAATAATTTCCCTTAGAACCTTGAGGTCATCAGTTCTGGTGGTGTACACACATAATCCTAGCACTCAGGAATTCACAAGTTCAAAGCCATCTTTGTCTTCATAGCAAGATCCTGTCTCTGAGTAAGAAAGAGGGGAGGGAAGAGAAAAAGACAGAATTTTGAAATAATTACTGCAATTAATCTCTCACTTTCAGGACTACTGTTGAAGTTCAAAGCCATTCTGATCCTTATTCCATCATGTGTGTTCTTTCTGGAAGCTCCTTGTGTCTTCATTCTCCCTGGGGCTCTGGAGTCCTGATGGCATGCGGTGATGTGACTGTTTTGATCTCTTTTTCCTGGCCACTCTTTCAGTGGGGAAACCCAGAGTGTTCTTTCATTTCCCATTTGTTTTCTTAGTTTTCGTTCTCTAAGTCCTTTATCCAGATGCCTGCACTCCTCGAGTAGGGGTTTCTCTTTTCCTCTGTCTTCCCTGTGTTACCTCACAGTCTTTTTTCCTCTGCTCCCTGTGAGGTTTTCTCAACTGTAGTTGTGATCCTGCAGGTCTGTCTGTGTGTTTTGGGGGACTGAGAACACGTGCACAGTAAGCACTTTCCCACCAAGTTACTTTCCTGGCCCAGGCGCCTTTGTATTGACTTGCAGCACTTTCATCAAATATATCCTTAGGTATTGCCCTCCAAAGTAGCTCCTGTCTCCCCACTCTTTCCAGCCTTTTGTAGCACTGTAGTTGTTCACATCATGCATTGAACGTCTGTGTGCGCTGGCTGCTCAGGGTATGAAAAGGAGATTTGGCCATCCCATCTCCTGGGCTGGAAAGGCAGACAGATACTCATGTTAATGGAAATGGCACAGAGGTAGCTCCCAAGCAGAGTGACCTTTCACCCTGCACCTGTTGTTTGGGTGTGAGACTGCCCTGGAGCTGGTGTGGCTACGTTTCTTAGAGTTTCACAGCATTCCCATTAGAGCATTTGTTCCCAGGATGCAACATTGCTCTCCTGAGTCTGTGGAAAGATCTAGCCAAGTTTCAGCAGCACTAAACGCTAGGTCACACAGCTCCTGCTGCTGTGTCCTGGCAGGGCTGACGTGGGGGTGCTTCTGTTAGCTTGAGTGAGTCCGGGCTCTTGACTTACGTTTGTATGTGGCTGCCTGCTCCTTTGGTTTTCTTGAGCTGGGCTTCCGTGCCAGAAGGAACATTTTAATGCTTTTAGTTGTGGTACTGGTGTTATTTGGATTCGTTTGTTCTTTTAAACTTGGTCTTTCAGAGAATAGACATGCTGAAATATTTATGGATAAATAATGATACCTGGGATTTGCTTTATAATAAATGACAGAAGGTAGTGGATTGTGAATTGTTTCTGAGCTGAGGTGTTGTTGAAACCCAGTAAAGATAAGTAGAACTGTATCAGTATTCTATTATCTTCTTAGTATAATTTTATTTAAGACATGGTGTTGTATATTGCTGGCCAGCCTGAAACTTTCTAGGTAGCCAAGGATGATCTTGAACGCTTAATCCTCCTACCCCCACCTTCAGTGTGCAGGGATAATAGTTGGTATCACCGTACCTGGTTTAATGCTGACCAAATCGAGGGCCTCATTCATGCTAGGCAAGTGCTGTAACTGAGCCACATGCAGCCCTTGTTTGTTTTTTGAGACAGTGTATTGCTATGTAGTCCAGGATGATTCTCCTGAATGCTGCAATTTCTATCTGTTAATGTCAGTTGGTGTGTGAGTATGTTTGAATTTTTTTGGGGGGGGAGGAATTTTAGAAAAACCAAACTGTTTTTCTTCATTGGCCTCCTTAGTCAATAAGAACTCTGCTGCTCCATACACTGTGGGTTAAACTAAACTGTCACTTAAAACCTTGTGACCCTTTGGGTCCAAACAACTGAGAAACTGAAGGACTCCATCCCATTATGTACCTGATTTTAATAAAATTAACTTTAGTTATAGCAATATCTTACCGAGAAGAGCAGTCTCTGACTGTAAAAACTGAATGACAGTACAGACATGAGCCACTCCAAAATAAACCTAAAATTATTTTTCCTATTTGAATGGTAAAGATTAGACAGAAGTGAAAAAAAAAAAAATCGATGTGAATCCCATCCCCACCTCCTGATCACCTCCACCCTGAGACAGGCCCTGGGTCCTTTTCCAATAGTTCTTCCATTTGCCAGCAGAGGGCAGTGGTGACAGAACCTGCGGCCCAGGTTTTCTAGGGGCTCAGGAGCTCTGCCCCACTTCCCCTGAGCAGTGACTTGCTCCCCTTCTAAGGGGCCCACATTGTACTGTGGGCATCCATAGGCAGGGAAACTAGAAAGTGATGGCCCTGCGGTTCTGGGGGTCTTCTGGCCTTGCTCCGGGCCTCTCTGTGTATGGTGGGTAGCTTGTGACACCTGTAACCAGCTCTGCAGATTGTGTTGGGAAGCATGGCCAGTGTGGTGTGTTCCTGGGCAGCCTGAGCAGTCTTCATGGCTTCCCTTTGCAGTTCTCTCTGTCAGATACACACATGTTCTAGTTTGAACGCAGAAATGCTCTGCCCCTTTTCTCGGGAAGTTTCTTCTTCAGGAGCTGGTCTCCATCTCTCATATACCATGTTGCTAGCAGAGCAGCAGGGCTTTCATCAAGTTTCCTAGATCAAGAACTAGAGCCAGCAGGGTGCCCTTGCAGAAAGTGCTTTGCCTTTGAGGGCCTCACATCTCTGTTAACAAAAGACCAGCTAAGCCAACTGTCTTTGTCTGAGCAGTAGCCATTTATTAAGTGTCTGCCTGGCTGGAGACAGCTGAGGCAGTTTGAGGGAGTTGGTGTGAGAACCAGTAGGTAGGAAGTGGGAGAGTCAGTGACCACCCTGAGAGATAGGTAAGAGCAGCACAAAGGATGGTCCTAAAGCTACACTCAGCATTCAAGGAATGCAGAGCTTCCCTGAGGGCAGAGGGGAGCTACTGAAGGATGTAGAAAGAGGGGGAGAGCTGTTGCCAGCAAAACCAACAGATAGGGTTATAGCTAGCCAGCCAGCTGAGGGACCCCTGCAGCCTAAGCCTAGGCTAGGGTCACCCAGACAAGAGAGCCCAGAATGGAGTATCTGGACCACAGGAGTTGGAGGGAGGCAGGAGTCAAACACAGTTCCCCGAGTGCTGCCTTGGAGGCAGTAGGGCCACCCTCTGAGGCGCTGGAGGCTTGGGGTGCTAGTGAGTCTAATTTCCCCATCTGCCTTTATGGTCAATCACAATTAACTCTGGGGGCAGATCCCTCTCCCAACTTCAAAAGATTCAGCTGAATTAACAAGACACGTTTAGTCTTGTCCCTAAGAACTATCCCAGCATGCCTCACTGCTTCTCAGCCCTTTCCTGAAACACAGTTGAGCCAATCATTACTTTTGTCTTACATCATCTTTCTAATGATGTGTTTATCACTTAAGCTTGAGCATTCTCCCTCCTCCTTTCCCCCCTCCTTTCTTCCCTCTCTCCTTCCCTTCCTCAGTTCTAACAGGGTGTCTGTACTGGTTCTTCTGGCTTTGGTCAGAATTTTAGGATTGTAGATGTCCACTGCCATCCCCAGCTAAGTCTAAAACTTGTCAAATTAAGTTGTAGCTCTGCCTCGGACCAGCTTTTCTTTGTGGACAGGTCATCTGGAAGCTCCCTGTGAGTGTGGAGGTCTACTGACTTCCCCTCAGGTGTGAGGATGGAATTACGGAGGGTTTGCCGGACACTTTCATCCATTGAGGGCCCCTTCTTGTTGATCCTCTTTCTTGCTCAGTTCAGTGTGTGGTTTAGATGAAATTTTTTTTTCTTTCTGGCCTGTCTTTGTTTATTATACCAGGGCCCCTTCCGTGTTAAGCACACACTCAGAGCTACGCCAGCCCCCGTCCTGTTGGATGTGGGTAACGCAAACAACCTCCTGCCCTGGGATGCCACGCTGCACTTTCTGTAGAATCTTCATGGGGCTTTCCACTTCCCGAGTCAGGTTCACCCACCTGTCCCCTGCGCCTCACATCCCTTGCTGTCCCTTGAAGAACACTTTGTCTATTTCAATATTATGAAATTGCTGATTGAAATTTTTAAAACCTTTGTTGAAATTAATCTGTTTGTTCTTAACCTTGTGCAAACCTCAGCTCCTGTGACAACCTGATGGGATTGAACACAGTCAGGATGGTATGGCTATGGACAGAGCCAATGAAAATCTAACTTCCGGCCCCTTGGCATAGCTGAGCACATAAACACTTGCACTGCAGACTTTCCCGTAGCTTTGGGAGCTCAGATTCCCAGCCACTACTGTCTTGTGGACCTTTTGATACCTACAGCATCCTACAGATGAGAAACCGAGGCCCAGAAAGAAAGGGAGAGTCGCCAGTCATAGGCCACTACCCAGGCCTCTTCATCATTTCCTAGTGTTCTTTGTAGCGCAGTTCTCTGCTCCAGTCTTTCTGTCCAGTCAAGGGAGGCTTCTAGTGCTCTAAGCAGCTAAGGTGGCATCCAGGGCTGCTCAGCCATGCTCAGTATTTACCTGACGCTTGAACGCCAAGGAGCTTGTCACTAGGCTTTCAGAAGGCAAGTCTGCTTCCAGCCGTGACTCAGCAGCCTGGGCTCGCCATGCTGAGCTTTGCGTGTGTGACTGCCTGGCTCTGCTCTGTCTTCTGGTTGGTTCCGCTGGAATTTAAAACTGCACCTTATGCAATGATCTTCCAGTCCTAGTGTTCAGGTGGGTGAGGCTGGCCAGAGTCGTTGCTCCAGGGAGAAAATTAAGAGGGGTGGAGGCAATGAAAAAGCTCTTGCGTTTCTCAATGAGATCACGTCAGGCTGAGAGTGTGCATGCAGACGCATCTGCTAATGATTTTGGGAACCCCGCCTTTCTTTCTCCCTGTCACTGCCTGCAGTAGCCACAGGTTCCAAACAGGAGAGGCAGCTTCCAAGTAACAGGGCCAGGTAGTTCAAAAGACCACTCCCTGGCATGAATCCTGCCACCTTGTCACTAAGCCACAGCCAAGAGCATGCACGTCCCAAGCCACCTCACAGGTCAGTGTGCAGCTCAGAAAGAAAAGGGCTTCAGCTACCCCCGACCTCACCAGCCTCATTTGAACACAAGGAAGTCAGATCCCTAACAACCTCCATGAGCAGGGCTGGAGAAGACTAGCGTCCCAGTTGTCCCAACGCACGTGTTTCCCATAAGCCTCAGAGAGCCTCTTCTCTGGGATCTTCTTGTAGTTGGGATGAAGTGAGAGGGCTGTGAGGGCCAGCCTTCACTCTGCTGCTGCAGGCAACTCAGCTAAGCACCTACTGTGTGCTGGTGTGTACCAGGTGCTGCACCATGTGAAAGGGATGTGGAGTGACTAGAACAAGGCCCCTGGCCTGGGGGAGCTGTCAGTCCAGGCAGAGAGAGACAGGCGCTGTACATTTATCACTAAGTGCTACGTGAGGGACATGGACACCAGGCAGGAGAGCAACCCGGCATGTGTACTAAGCAGGAAATAGTTACAGTAGCATTTGTTCTAAACAGACAGACGGCACATGTAGGACACAGAAAGCATTGAGCTGCAGTGGCTCCTCCCTTCTGAAAGACCCGGGAAAGTCAGTGCCTGCCATAAACCCCCATAACTCAAAAGACTTGCTATCCCCAGAAGCCTCGTTACATGAGCAGCATGGTACTGCACAACAGAGGCCCAGCCCAAGCGTCTGCTACAGCGCACTCTGCCTTTAATAGCCTTCAGCTCCCAGCTCCTCCAGAACGCTCCAGTCAACCATCATAGCCCCAACCCAAAGACAGGCCTCTGGTCAGAGTGGCACTGGGACTCCAGCTTGAATGTCCACTAAACAGGACTCATATTTTCTCACCCACACTTCTTCTCTCTTGCAGGTGTGAAGAAGTCAGTGATTTATAGTTCACGAAAACTGAACAAAATGTGGAAAGGTTGGCTGAGAAAAGCATCCTGACTTGCCTGGTTCTTGTTACGTGTAGATTGTGAATAAATGGCTCCGTGCTTTTTGATGGAGCTTGCTTTGTCACTCTGGCTGGCTACTTGAAATCGAAGAGACCAAGATTTGATCATCCTTGGTAGGGTTTGTTCTTGTCTGGCTTTCTGGTTTTTATTAGATGAGGTCTCACTCTGTAGCCCTGGCTGGACTCAAACTCACAAAGGTCCACCCACCTCTCTCTGTGTCTCCTGAGTGCTGAGCTTAAAGGTGTAAGCCAGCATGTGTGGCTGTACTTGATTTTTTCTTTTTAATTCACTGTCAGACACTAACTCAGGTGCAACCACAGCACACAAGAGGACTTTGCACCCCAAGAAGAGTCCTCTAGGTAGAGTTGTGATGGTGTTTTGTTATCATGTGGAGGAAGAGGTTCTGTCTTTGAGGACACAAAGAGTGAGAATTGCAAGTGCCACTGTGCTTGTAAACTGGCAGCCTGGAAGACTACAGGTGCATAAGTTGGCCTCTCTTCCTGGTGCCACGCCCCCATTTGCTTGGTTTTCGGTTGGTTTTTTTGTTTTTTGTTTTTTGGTTTTTTTTTTTTTGGTTGGTTTGGTACTTGTTTTATATGAAAGAATGACCTTTGAGTGCAGAGCCCAAGACCACCCTTTGTAGACTCTGCCCTGCTGTACTGAGACATGTGGAGGCACCAGGAACCCAGCAACACAGGAAGACTGACCATGCTTTCCTGTCATCTCTCTGCCCTCTGTTGTGTTGGCATCCTCCTAAGACTGGCTCATGCCCTAATTAGGAGACTGCTAACAACATAAGAGCATCCACACCTGGGAAGACAGAGACATTTTTTTTCCCCTAGAGACAGGGTTTCTCTGCATAGCCCTTGCTGTCCCAGAACTTGCTCTGTAGACTGGGCTGGCCTAGAACTCATAAGTCCACCTGCCTCTGGCCTCTCAAGTTCTGGGATTGAGGGCGTGTGCCACCACCTGGCTGACAGAGACTCTTTGGAAGCTCTCTCAGAAAAAGCAAAAATATCTGGTTATGGTGGCACAAACCTGGTATCCTAGGAGGTGAAGCAGGAGGCTTATGAGTTCAAGGCCATCCTGAGCTCCATAATAAGAACTCATATATCTGTATAAAAGGAAGAGGGTAGGGCTGGCTTTCCACGGCCCCCACACTCTTCTGTTTGTTGGTACTGGTGTGAATAACTGGCCAAAGGCTGGAGCCAGCTTGATCAGTTTGTACCTGAGCTCCTCATCTTCTACAGAAGGCTCCTTCCTCCCAGGCCCAGCTGGCAGGATAGGAGGAGGCACCTGAATGTGAACGAGGAGGAAGGAGACCAGGAAGCAGTCACATCACCAACCCCGCATGTCTTATCTGTCCCATCAAACCTCAGGGTCTTTGTAGCCTTGTGTCGTCTCTGTCCACCTCACGCTGTTTCCGTTGTTTAGTACTTCAGCACTGACCCCTCCAGTCTTTTGTGAATTTTGACAACATAGGTTTTCTACCTTAGAATTCATCTCATTCCAACCTAAATTAGAAGCCTCATGGCATATACTTAGTGTCCCAGCTTGGCTTTGTATTGCTGAGATGAAAGAGCCATGACCAAAATCAGCTTGGGAGGAAAGGCTTTATTGCAGCTTCCAGCTTGTAGTCTGTCATCCAGGGAAGTCAGAACAGCAGCCGGAGGCAGAAACTGAAGCAGGGGCTGCAGAGAACTGTTGCTTCCTGTATTGCTCCCTATAGTTAATTCAGCCTGCTGTTTTATAGCAGTCAGCACCCCCTGCCCAAAGGTGGCACTACCCATAGAGGGATGGGCTCTCCCTTATCGTCAGTTAAGAAAATATCCCTCAGACTTGCCTTTGGACCAATCTGATGGCAGCATTTTCTCAGTTGAAGTTTTTTCTTCCCAGATGGACTCGTCTTGTGTCAAGTTGACGGAAGTACCCAGCACACTTAGCATATGAGTAAACTTTCACTATCAACTCTAAGACTTTAGGCAAGTTGGTTAGTTTCTGTGAACAGTGTTTCCTTCTGTAAAATGGGGATGGCCTCCCACTGTTCCTTCAGGTGATCTGTGGTAAGCATGTTTGTACTGTAAGCCCACATTTTTTCCTTCATTCAATGGTGGTCAGTGCCATTGTCTTTTTGTATCATGTCTTCAGATATTTCTATAGGAAGCTAATGTGGTCCCTGCTGTTTATAAGCTATAACGGGAGCCTCCCCTCGGGCTAGTCAGCATCCTTTGAGCTCTGTTGCACCTTCTACCTCATAACAGTAAAGCCTTTTCTGTCCCATGGTAAGTTCTGTGCAAAGTAGCTACTCAGTAGAGCTTGAGACCTCAGGTTCATTTTCCGGATGTGGAATCTGAGGTCTCCTGAGAGGAAGATACAGCCTAGGGTCATGACACAGTTGAGGAACAGCTGGGAAGTCAACCCTCGCCTCTGGTCTTCTGTCCCCTGGCATTTCCCATACAACCCACAGCTTTTACAAGTCATGAACACGTGAGCCTTCCTTTCCTCCTGCCCTGGATTCTTGCCTATTCCTCTGTGCATTCCTAACAGCAGATTTATATCTAGGTTGGGACTCGTCAAGTAGGTACATAGGGTGAAAAATGAGGTGTCCTGTGAGGAAAACTTGTGGGCAGGAAGGCCCTTCTCAACCTGAAATAGGTCATTTTCGAAGCTATATATCCTGGGCGTTTAGCCTGGGAAGCCCCAGTGCTTGTGTCCATAATATTGTCATCCTCATATCAGTGTGACCAGGTTGGTATCAGAATTAAATATGATAGTATCTATAGAGCAGCTAGCATGCTTCACAGCACACAGGAGTTACACAGGTGTCTGCTAGGTGTGTGCATTTGGTGAGTTTGTATAACAGCCACAAATGAAACCAGATGTACCTATCAGAGTCAAGAAAAGAAAAACTTCTGGGGCTGGAGAGGTGGCTCAGTGCTTAAGAGTACTGGCTGCTATTCCAAAAGACCCAGGTTCAAATCCCAGCACCCATAGGGCAGTTCACAACTGTCTGTAACTCCAGTTCTAGGGATCTGACACCCTCACACAGACACATGGGGAGGCAAAACACAATTGTAAATAAAAAGAAAAGAAAAACTCCTTAGGTGTATCTAGAGTTTAATACTAGTTCTCAAACACTGGAAGGGCCAGTAAACAAAAAAAAAGAGGGTACTTTAGAGAAGGAAAGGGGTGTCACACAGAAAGCAGGGAAGCTGCTTTGCACCCTGGGCTGGAACCTACAGGCCCATGCCTGCTGCTATGTTGCTAAAGTTACTGCCTGTGGTGATTTCAAAATGTGCGTAAATGTTGGCCCTCCTCCCACCTACTGGTGGAATCTAATTTTTCCTTGACTATGAGATGGCTTTAGTGACTTAACTTCTAATGATAGAATGCAGCAAACAAGATGTTAATGTGATTTCAGAGGCCAGATCCTTCAAGGCAGTGCAACTTTCCCTTGGCTCTCTAAATACCTACTCTTAGAACCAAGCTGCCATGTCCCGAGGAGGCAAAGACCATTTAGAGAGCCAAACATGTTTGATCTGGCAGATAGGTGAGTGAGCAAAGCTTTGTGATACCCCACCCTGGCCTCTGCCTAGCTGGACCCAGTCAACTCCCTGGTCCAAGAGTGGATAAGCACATAAGTGTTGTTCAAAGTAAGTTTGCCTGAGACCTGTATGCCAGGTTAGGCCAAGAGGACGGTGCCCTGCCACTGCCAGGTGCCACTTGGCAGCCATCATGGTTGCTGCTACTGCATTGGGAGTCAGGCCAGGCACCTCTTCTTCCTGCCTCATCTCCCACGGTGTCCCCAATGGCAAAACATAATGGAAAGCTGCTGGCTGCTGAGAAAGCCTAAGGAACATAGTTTCTAAGCCCTGATCCCCAGCAGAGCAGGATGGAGTAGAGAGAATGGGTATAAAACAGGCTCACCAGGTAGAACCCGACCTGGTCCCCTCTTGGGGTGACACCGCATGTGCTGTGCTCTTCATTCCACGTGGAGACATCTGTCCAGCAACAGCTGCAGTCAGCAGCTTCAAACAAGCAACTGCAAGGAAAATGTGCTCAAGCTGGCTGAAAGGAGCAGGTACGTAGTTCTTAGAGCTGTCTCATCCCGCTCTGGGCAATGGTGACCTTGAAAGCAACCCTGGATGGTCACTGCCTGTTCTGGAGACCACTGTCCGCGCTCACGGTAGCAATGAGGTGCAGGAGAATGGGTGTCATTCTGCCTCTGTGCTCCTGCTGTCCTGAGCCTGTGCTTCAGTGGGGCAGAGTCCCGGGCCTGCCGGAGGAACCCAAACCCTCACGAGGGAAGAGCTGTCCTCTAGCCCTGCCAGCAAACATGCCATCAGGATCTACTGTCGAGCAGGGAGCGCTGCTGAGAGTGCTTAGTTCAAAACATTTCTCCTGTTAACCCTCTCAGCTACCCTGTAAGGCAAGGACTGTTTTGTTCTAACTTGACTATTGGGGCACTAAGATGACTCAGTGGTTAATAGCACTAGCTGCTCTTCCAGGACCTGGGTTTAGTTCCCAGAACTTTTTTGTTGTTGTTGTTTTGTTTTTTGTTTTTTTTTTTTGTTTTTTTTTTTTTTACTTTTTTATTTTATGTACATTAGTGTGAAGGTGTCAGATCCCTTGAAATTGGGGTTACAGACAGTTGTGAGCTGCCATGTGGGTGCTGGGGATTGAACCCAGATCCTTTGGAAGAACAGACAGCGCTCTTAACCACTGAGCCATCTCTGCAGCCCCAGTTCCCAGAACTTAACATGACAGCTTACAAACATCTCTTAACTCCAGTCCCAGGGGATCCAGCATCCTCTTCTGGCCTCTGCTGGCACTGTTCACACACACAGGAAAAATAATTTTTAGAAGATTAATCTTTAAGTGTGTATGTGTGTGCATAGTGTGTGGGTTCTTGTGGAGACCAGAGGTATTGGATCCTCCATACAATTGTAAGCCACCTCACAGGGGTGCTGGGAATTGAACTTGGGTCCCCTGGAAGAGTAATACATACTCATAACCATGAACTAACTCAAAACCATCAAAAGATAAATTTT